ATTTAATTAAATATATTCGTTATCCAGATGGGGACTTGAGAACATTTTATCACTCCAAACTCAAACAAATAATATAGTATATAAGTACATGGTATAAGAAAAAATTGTAATTAATTACAAATCCGGTTCATTAATTTACATTACAATTAAAATAACATAAAGTAACGTAGAACAGTAAAATTTTAATTCTTGTGATTTTATATCAATAATATACTAGTATATAAATTCAGCATGTTGAAGTAATTCGTTAAAATAATATGATAAACAGAAAATAGGTAAATGGAAATACATAATGCGATCGATCTTAGTCTGCTACACTTATTAATCTATGCATGCTAATAGTGTCTTATCCCAGGAAGTATTATAGCGCCGTTACTATATTGAAAAAACATGTGCTAAATTTGTTCCCGATAATATCTCATTTACATACTCAATATGGAAAAGTTCTAAGCATTTTGTTAGTCATGATAAGAAATTGACTACGACGTGTTCAGTTCAGTAGGTACCTACAATAATAATCTTCTTTACCATAATATCAACAGTGTGAAGAATATATCTTTGCACCAGCAAAGTGTTCACCGTGCACCCTTACTCAAACGCAAAAATTTTTTAATTAGATAATAATAAGTAAATAGGTCTCCTTTTATTCAATGAGATACCATCGAGAGTAACATTATAGTTCGATATTACCTCTACATAATTCCAGAACCTGTACCTCAAGACTTTTTCAGTAGGTACTTCGACATGAGGAAAAGAAAACTGATCATATTCATCACTGTGTAACACATTATTTAACTTACAATTAGATCAGTTTGAAGTTGTATTCAATTAATTACGATTATACTGAATAGATACAAAATATATATATTTAAATAAAGATCCAAATATAATTTTCACCACCTATGTTACTTAGTACAACATTTAATATGTAGTTTAATCTGCGGCAAAAAAAGCAAAAAGGTATTATTCCCCATTTGATATTTTTATTGCCATATGTCCAGAACATACATAATGGCAGGTATGCCATCAAATATCAAAGGGATATAAGTCTATACAGGGTGTCTCATAATTAGCTGCCAACCCTGAACAGGCCGATTCTATGATCAAAACTAAGTAAAAAAGTTCATATGAACATGGGTCCGGAAATGCTTCCTAAGGGCACAGGGANGAGCGTAGCTCCCTTAGGAGCCGCCACTGACAAAAATTGTACTAAAGTTTTCGTCATTTTTCGACTTGTTTTACAAGCTTAGAAATTTTGAATACTTATTTCAGTTACACCTTGTATATTGAAAAACATGTGCTAAATTTGTTCCCGATAATATCTCATTTACATACTCAATATGGAAAAGTTCTAAGCATTTTGTTAGTCATGATAAGAAATTGACAACGACGTGTTCAGTTCAATAGGTACCTACAATAATAACCTTCTTTACCATAATATCAACAGTGTGAAGAATATACCTTTGCATCAGCAAAGCAACATTTTTTAAATTAGATAATAATAAGTAAATAGGTCTCCTTTTATTCAATGAGATACCATCGAGAGTAACGTTATAGGCGACAATACACATGCCTCTTGCTTGCACAATAGCATGCAAGTAGATTGCAGGAGATAGCTCCTGGTACGTGTATTTATTAAAAGGCATGCCTGTAGAAGGCGCGCAAGTTAATTGTACATCATTTGATTTTTTGGCATGCAATGTGAGGCGGGGGGTTTCGGGGAAGTTCAAGTGGCATGTCGGAACGTGTCTATTTGCACCTACTGATATGCCAATAAGCCATATACTAACAAGCCATTCCATTTTACTTGCAAATGTATCAGCAGTGTGCCATCCACCGGCATATGCCATTTCTTAGCATGCAATAGGTATACACATACCTATTTTACTGGTATGTGTATAATTCCAGAACCTGTACCTCAAGACTTTTGCAGTAGGTACTTCGACATGAGGAAAAGAAAACTGATCATATTCATCACTGTGTAACACATTATTTAACTTACAATTAGATCAGTTTGAAGTTGTATTCAATTAATTACGATTATACTGAATAAATAAAAAATATATATATTTCAATAAAGATCCATTAGTACAACATTTAATATGTAGTTTAATCTATGGCAAAAAAAGCAAAAAGGTATTATTCCGCAATTGATATTTTTATTGCCATATGTCCAGAACAATACCTGCCATCAAATGTCAAAGGGATATAAGTCTATATATAACCAATTTTATTTTATAACTCGATTTCTAAATGAATTATGTAGTCTTATGTCTTCACATTTACTATGAACTGAACAAAAATCTATTTTGCATAATATCAAAAAGATATAAGTGCACTTGTAACAGTTATAAATAGGTTGGAATACTCATCTTGTAATATCAGAAGGGTATATGTCTNAGGAAGCATTTCCGGACCCATGTTCATATGAACTTTTTTACTTAGTTTTGATCATAGAATCGGCCTGTTCAGGGTTGGCAGCTAATTATGAGACACCCTGTATATAACCAATTTTATTTTATAACCCGATTTCTAAATGAATTATGTAGACTTATGTCTTCACATTTACTATGAACTGAGCAAAAATCTATTTTGCATAATATCAAAAAGATGTAAGTGCACTTATAACAGTTAAAAAATAATAATAATAAATAGGTTGGAATTCTCATCTTGTAATATCAGAAGGGTATATGTCTACTTATACCCTTTTGTCTTTTCATAGATTTCCTTTATTTAAGTTATATGTGTACTTAACCTTACTTTATTACTTTAAATTTGGAAGCAGAGACAGAAATATAAATAGATCCCGATTTAGACAAGCTACTTAAGTGAGATAGAAGATAACAAGTTTTAACTTATCTATATAATTTTTTTTAAATTAAATTGTTAGTTGTTTTTAATATATTTTTATTATAAGCCTACCCTCAGAAGTAATCTACATACTATAATGAACAAAATGTTCTATATTCATGTCTACTTATATCGTTATGTCAATGTTGTAACCTATGATTAACAAAAAATTATTAAAATGGTAAAACGGTATATGTTTACTTATCTTAGTCTAGCTTTTATATAAGAACGATTCAAATATAAGTAATAAAATATATAAATATTTCATAATTAGCCATTTTTGCTACACTAAATTGGCCTTAATTCTTTTGGTGCAATTAATAACATCATATTTATTAATATTACTTACGGTTACTTTACAAAACAGTTTTTTGTTGTTTCTCTAAAACAGGCACATTTTACTTATATCTGTTTGCCTTTTTGTCACATTAATGTAGTAGAATGAACAAGATATTCTAAAAACAATTTTTTTATCTTCTTTTTGATACATGTACATACAATCGTTATTTGAAAGAAAAAATCATTTGATTAAGAGGGTATTCTGGTGTAGCGGCATACAATTTGGGCTTTTTGTCAAGCTGATAAGAAAAACAAAAAATGTTTTCATATTTTTACAACAAATTTATTGATATTTTCAAAGTACACAAAAAAATTTTTGAAAAAGAAATGAAAATTAAAGAAGTGGTAATGTTGGGGTTACAAAAAGGGGTGTGCTGGTTGACACGATTGCACCCTTCTGGTCATCTGAAACAAAATTAAAAAAAAGATTCTTAATTAGTAAGAATGTCGTTATAACCCCTACCTAAGAGAAAAATGGCAGCTGTCTGAAAAAAGGCATTTTTCGATTCTTTTTATTCATTTTTAATTGTTTAAAATAGTAAAAAATATATTTAGATACAAAAATAATAGGGGCGATAGAAAATTATACTTATATTGAAGGTCCATACAAAATTTGAATTAAATCGGTTACGTACATACAATTTTTACCATACAAATAGCCCCAAATAATTTGTATTTCGATCCTGTTAATGCATTAATTCTATCTTAGATGTCTGATAACAAAATAAATAATCTTTAATGTTCGCATTGTTAATTGAACGATGTTATCAGTGGAGGACATGTCAACTTGTTAACTCTAATTTCTACAGTAAAAACTAAAATTAGAATATTATGCTAACATCGAACTGTTATTACAACAATCAATAGACCACAAGGTCATGGTGAAAGACGGAGGACTAATCTATCTTTTTACGAAAATGGAACTGGTATTTTGAAAACAGTTTCCTCTTAAGTGTTTCGCTGCGTTAGCTAGAAATTAGTAATGAAAGATATGAACCATTTTACTAAAATACTCTTACTTTTGTCTACAAAACTGTAATCTTCTAATCAAATTAATAAGAAGATATACAGGGTGATTCACTTTTTATGATTAAGAAACCAAGCATTTCATTTAAAAATATTAAGAGACCTTTTTCACAGTAATTTATAAAATCCATGGAGCTGCTCATTCGTACACTTCATACTAGATATAAAACAAATAGCTTTCATAGTTTAAGAAAAATTAAATAAAAACCAAAAAAATGTTTTTTCAAGAGCTTATCTAAAAGAAAGCTTTTGGAAGAAAAATGACATTATTTTGATCGATCGATGGTTAAAGTCCTAATCATAAAAAGTGAATCACCCTGTGTACATATATTTTTTTCATATAGTAACTATACTTACTTGATAAAACCAAACATTTGACAATTTTAAGCTAAATATGCTTTACGTACGATACTGAAACATTTCATATATTTTAGTAAGTATCCCAACGACACAGGGCATCATACCGAAAGTATTTATTTTCTGTACTATATTTTATTGACTTATTACATTCTAGTGTAGAATATTTAAACGGTAGAACAATAATTTTCAGTATCAATTTTATATGTAATATTTGGATAAATTAGGTAAATATTTAGGTAGAGTCCATCAAATCGCTCACGGGCTTGTGATAGTTGTGATACACATTGGGTATTGATTTTTATATTTTTATTATCTAGATAAAATAATTAATCCTAATATTATATAACTATGAAACGCAATCATTTGCGGTATAAGGTAGATTGACATCAATGAGTCAAAGCATAGGTAAATTATTGTTCAAGTTCTCTGGTAATCTCCCCTCCTTCATATTTATCATCTTTTCTCTCTCTATAAACGGGATGTATACATTTCCAACCTATACCTCAAAACATCAGGTGTTGTTAATATCATAGGAAGTTCTAATTATTTGTGTTTCTACTAGTGAAAAAAAGTAAGGTAGGTGTTTTTTTTTTTAACTTAGTATCAAGTGCTACCTAACTGACATTTAGATGATTTTAGATAATATGAATAAAATTATTTTTTAATGTCGGTTAGAAAAATATTTTTCATGCTTTTGTTTATTCTGATAAAATAACGAATCTTAAATATTTCAAAATTCATTTCAGTTATCTACCAATCGGTGGAGAGTTACAAAAGTGATAGTGCAGTCCTGCTATCGACAAGTTATTTACTACACAATTTTTTGATGTTTCCTCCTCTACAAATAATTTCATTATTTTTAACTTTTTATCTAATGCCAATATAGTTATTTAAAAAACTGTTTTAGACAGCTTAATTTACTTGTAATTTGAAACATATTTCGTCTTCTATTATTGTCTTAAATATAACTATTTTTGAACAAAACAATAAATTATGTTACGATACACATCCTGATATGCATATGAGTAGTAAAATAAAAAATTTGTAGTAGGCGGTTAATAATGCTTAATATTGTTGTCGCTACTGTGAGTGCTTTTTTGTACTAATTTCATTTATTGTGCTAATATGCAAAACTACATTAACTCTAAAATGGCTGATATCTTGTGTGCATTATGGCCTAGAGATTATTCCATTTAATAGAAATAGGATATAAAATTTGTTAAAAATACACAAAAATCTAAAATATATTTTTAAATGGACGTATTTGCGACAGAAAAAAATACATCCATCTTTTACAACAGAAGGAGAAGACACGAAATTACCCAGTAAATGCATTTTCGAGAGTAGAGATGTTGTATGTAATTTCATTTTTTTTTCCTTATTTAAGGAAAAAAATAAAAACTCATTTTATTCTCCCCTCTTTGAAGGAACATAAATCTGCAAGAAGGAGACAGATAGGTGTTTTGTAAGAAAGGCCCGTCTTAACTTCCAACGAAGAATATTTTATACACCCTGTAAACTTGACAAGATGAAGCAAGTCGATGTTATCTATACCGACTTCACTAAAGCTTTTGACAGACTCGACCACGACCTCTTGCTGTATAAACTAGATGGGTTTGGTGTGTCCGAATCACTTTTGCAACTTATTGAATCATATTTACAAAATCGGTATCAGTTTGTTCAGCATCCTGGCTTTAAATCGCACAAGTTTCATCAAATATTTGGTGTGCCTCAAGGATCTATACTCGGACCCTTACTCTTTGTTCTTTTTGTAAACGACATCATGGTTGATCTACAAGTACACCATTTAATGTATACAGATGAGCTTAAGCTATTTTGCGAAATAAACACCATTGCCGACTGCTATATGTTACAGGATGCGCTTAATGTCATTAGTTTGTGGTGTCTAAATAATAATTTAACGCTAAATGTCTCCAAGTGTAATGTCATTACATTCACCAAAAAAAAATTCTGTACTATTCGATTATAAATTGGATAATATAATATTGCATAGACCCGATTACATAAAAGACCTTGGAGTTACATTTGACCCTACATTATCTTTTACAAAACATATAGACATAATTGCGTCATCTGCTTTCAAGAATATGGGGTTCATAACAAGGAATTCCAAAGGTTTTATCAGTATTTCTTCACTACGATTGCTCTACACTACCTTTATTCGTTCTAAATTAGAATATACATCAATAGTCTGGAACCCAATTTATGCTAGTCAAATTGCAACTTTGGAAAGAGTACAGCGTAGGTTTATGAAATCAGCTGTATACTTATTGGATGGTACATATCCCCCTCAGGGTTTTCCGCATGATCTATTACTTGAGCGTTTCAATATTCATGTCCTTGCTAAAAGCAGATCTGTTTTTCAAGTAATGTTTTTATATAAAGTTCTACATAACATTTTGGACTGTCCAGGAGTTTTAAGTAATATTGATATCAAAGTACCGCGTCTATCAGGTAGAAGTAATAACGTTTTAAGTACGTTTTAAGTCTACCCGCAGCACGTAGTAACATCCTAGTAGCATCACCATTGTATCAAATTGTTTCGAAATGCAATAAGATAGAAAATAATGTCGATGTTTTTTGTTGTATGCCTAATGATATAAAAAAATGCTTTACTTATGTAGTCATATCTTTCTTTTATAGTTTGCTTGCCTCTTATTTTGTTCTTTATATCTGTGTTATTTGTAAGTTTGTACTATTTTTTTTCTCCCTATTTTTTCATAGTTAATTTTTCTCTTTTAATTTTTTTATATTTTATTACTAGACTTAACATATCCTATTATTGGGCATCGCCTGTTGGATGTGTATTTAAATAAATAAAATAAATAAATAAATAAATAAATAAATATTTATCTCGAAGGCATACTTGTGATATCTATACATGGTGTTTCAGGATTAAGTCGACAAACTTTAAGGAGATATTCCTCATAAAAAAATAAGAAAAAAATCAAGTATAAATTTGTTTCCAGGGACGCTTCATTTTCGAAATATGGGGTGTTAAAGATTTTTAAAAAATTCGAATTTTTGAAATACCTTCTAAATGAAGAAGTCTATTTAAGCCAAATTTGGCATGACACATCTTCTTATAAGATACCAATTTTCCATAGAAGTAGAAGACCCGTAAACAACCAGTTGCGGAGTTATGGGGACTCAGACTCATTAAATTATGGTTTTTGGATAGAACAGTTTGTTATTGACAAAAAGTGTACATTCACTTTTTTTCCTAACTCTTATAGTTTCATGGCAAAATATTATAAGTTTTAATTTGTTGGAATACCATAATTTAGTGTTTGAATTGTTGTTGATACGACGAAGAACAGCTGGGTCGTTGGTCGGTTATGACACATTGATGAGGACTAATAAGTCCGAAACCGGTCTGTGCCTGGTGGGTTAAACTGACAAACGATCCTAGCTGTTGCACTAGGTGTTGCGAGTATAGTTCAATGCCGGTAGGGGCATATAGCTCTCGGAGTAGTTGTTTCTCGCAACACTGACAATTCAAACATTATGTTACGCCCTCTGTGGGTGGCAGTCGTGCAACAAAGTACCTGCAGTTAGCAGGTCGCTTCCTACTGTAGCCATTTGAATGGCACAGTTGGGAGTCCGCACGACAGATGGAGCCATTTGCGCTCCCGCGTACCATAATGTAGTGTTACCTATGCTCTTTACAAGTACCAAAAATCCATTTGATATCACCTCCAGAAAAGAGTTTTAAAAATGTATGTCTCAAAATCTATAACTCCTACGTATAGGGAATATTTAATAAAGTGACCCTCAAATTTCAAAATGCAAAATTATACGAGTATGAGATGTCGCATTGAAAATAAGAAAGTTAATGTCGACTTCCGGTATAACCAGAAGTGCCATAAAGTTCTAAATATTTTATCTGTGTTGGGCCTACTGCCTTTGCTAGGTTGCCAAATTTTCAGATTTATCGGATAAGTACTTTTCGAGATATCGATAGTCGCGATTCCTGGTGGGACACCCTGTATTACTCAAAGCAAGAAAAAAATCATATTTTTCAATAAGGCATTTAAAGTACTCAAAATAAATATTTTTTAATAAAGCAATTCCGTAAAATATTTCTAGAAAAATATGCTACACCATTATCAAGTTTATATTTACCAATATACAGGGTGTAAGTTTGACTTCTGAGATACGATTAAAATCAACAAAGTACAAAAATCAGTTAATATTTTTCTGATTTCAATTGTATGTTATTTTCCTCGCTGATAGATGTAACCGGTTGTGACGATTGTGAAGTCTGAATACAACGAAAAAGTATATCGATTAATTTTATTATATAATATTTATTTTATCATTGTAAAAATAGTTGTTAACCATTTTTTACCATTTCAACAAAGCAACCTCTGCCCCATTCTCTATTCCCTTAATATTTTTCAGAGCTAACAATATATCTACTTATAGAGATAAAAATGAGAAGTATGTCAAATAAAAAATAAAGTTAAAAATATGATTAATGCAAAATTAATCTATGACATCCCGTGATTATAAAAAATAAAATACTTAAGCTAGCAATAACATAAGCAGAGATAATAAATAATAAATAAGTTATCAAAGAGGAATTAATTTAGCATGAGATTGTTGACGTGACCAAGTGCATATTCAAATACATGATATTAATATCGTGTGACTGGCGAACTTTTAATTTTGAAATTTTTTATATTTTCCTCATTTTTTTAATGTGGTATCTTAAATGACGTACAATGCAAGGAGTTTTGTATTGGGGCGAGAGTTATTACTATTAACCAATACCGATAATAAAAAAGTGATTTCACTCAATAGCCACTCAATGAGAAATAATCGTGCAGAAAATAAAAAAATATCAAATTGAAGCTGATGAATCAGGGTATATGTCACTAGCATTGATTAAGCCAGAAAAAATTTCTGAGCCCATGAGTAGTTTTGAAAAAAAAATTGTAAAATATATGCCTTGCGTTATTCTTTTGATTGTGCCGAGAGTGATGCTCAAAAAAATGTTACATCTCAAGATTTCGAAACTAGGATCTTCAAGCTTCAAGATGCTTCTTTTTTTTTCTCGATACGACCATTATTGGGGTAATAAAATTCATTTACTATATGAAGGTAGTTTTGGCTAAAAAGTGAATAATGTATAGTGTAATTTTAGTATTATGTGACACAGGGGTTTATAACTATTTGACAACGTAAAATTGACCTACAGACCTCAAATTGTAATATCAATATTGATACTATTAATTCTTTTCCCACAGCTATCGACATGCAAACAATTTAAATCTTATAGTACTTTAAAAGTCGAAAATTTCTATAGTTAAGTATTAAGTTCTATGTTTTAGTGTAAGTACAAAAAGTTATACCTACTGGAAGTACAACACCCATTTTGATACAACATTAGACTGTCAGTAGATAATTACATTAATAAAACTTATTTGAGCATTTTGAACACAACAGTAGCTTAATTTTGATTATTAATTCAGTTTTCTATATAAATTTAGTAAATATTGTAACAACTTTGGTGTGGAGTAGGAACAATCTATCAATTCTAAGTCAGCATACAATCTACATTAGGTAACTTAAAATATTTAATATTTGTCATCATGACATTACAATTGGCACAGTAAAATAATATGTTAACGGTATTTCAAAATGTAGTAATACAAATTAGACTATTCCAGCAATATTGGAAAATATAAGTTTCATTAAACGAAATTTGTTCCCGAACTGCAGGAAGGCAGTATTGCCAATAATCGGCTGGAATTTGTCGGCATGAAATAGCAGAAATGCTACTTTAGCAGACTCAAGTTTATTATTTGTATCTTTTTTAGTCAAGCAGGTAATGGACTGGACTTAACGGATACTGTTTTTGACGTTAGATAATTGTCAGTGTGAAATTAAAAAGAGAAATCAAAATGACCGATATTAACATAACTGATGCTGGTTTAACATGTTTTATATTTAATTTCGTAATAAATATTAATTTGTCTTTTCAGAAATGGCGCCTACCTACAAACTTACTTATTTTGACATTACGGCCCTTGGAGAACCTATCAGGTTCCTTTTGAGTTATGGGGGGATGGAATTTGAGGACAACCGCATTCAAAAAGAAAGTTGGCCTACCTTAAGACCGAGTAAGTTCCGTTTACTTTTATCTTATTTTAATGATTCATTTCCAAGAATAAGTTCGATTTGTTTACTCAGAAAGCCTGTTCCTATTGTGCCTTTGGTATACCTCATTCTTTATAAAAGATTTGATTGCCAAAAGCATTACTGCATGGAACATAGCTTATGTTTATAATTGCAGGTACACCATTTGGACAGATGCCAATTTTGGAACATAACGGTAAAGTAGCTTATCAGAGCGCAGCTATCTGTAGATACTTGGCAAAACAAGTAAAGTTAGTTGGAAAAAATGAATGGGAAGATCTAGAAATCGATGCAACTGTTGATACCATTACTGACTTGCGTTTAAGTGAGTGGTACTTAAACATTTTTTTGTCATTAGTTCATTTTATTTTCACTTATAATTTGTCAATCAACACACTATTTATTTTCCCATATTTTAATCTATCTTACAAGTATTACCCACATAATCCTAATTGCTTCCCGATAATAATTATCAATTTACTATCATGTTTAAGTAATTCATAATCTAAGAGTTAATTGTATGTACTTAATTTGTTTTTGTGATATATCAGCGATAGCAGAATAAATGAAGGGCACTGACGTCATTGCACTAAGTGAGTAAACTGCCCAGTATAATCTTTAGAAATTTAATGAAAATAATAACAAAATATTAGCACTGAAAAGATAAGAAGTTTGTAATTGCAATCAATTCCTTTCATAAACATCTCAAATAGAAGTTAATGAATGATCAGCGAAAATAATCAGGGTTATGCCTTTAAAGAATATATTTTAGACTTTGTTTCTGGCAACTCATTTATTTGTTTTAATCTCCAAGCATTGTCAACTCCCACCCTGAAAGTTTTAAATTGATTAACAAAGATTGTGTTGTGGCACAGCTTATGGATAAATTTCCAAAACATATTTGGACGTAAAAGTGTTTTACATAATATGTTGAATTTTCAGAAATTGGGCCCTATTATTATGAACAGGACGAAAAAATTAAAGAAGTCAAGGCAGGACCAATATTTAATGAGATTATTCCGTTTTATATGGAAAAATTAGATGCTCAAGTTAAGAACAACAATGGTTACTTTGTCAATGGTCGAGTAGGTACCAATCACGTATATTTCAGCGACAATATTGACTGATGATTGGCGAAATACAGGAGTTATTTAAATTTTACTGATTTCCAGTTGACTTGGGCTGACTTGTTCTTTGTTGCAATGGTGGATTATCTGTGTTTCATGGCAAATAAAGATATAATTGCGAATTCTCCGAATTTACAAATTCTAAAAGAAAACGTTTTAAAGGTACCCAGCATTAAGGCTTGGATAGAAAAACGACCCAAATGTGAATATTGAAAAATTTCCTATTTATCCAAATTAAGTGTATCTACATTTTTTACATATTATTTTTCATGTGATATGAACGAATAAAAATATATGAAACAGTGAAACGTTTACTTATTACTCTACAAAATATGATAAAAAGTTTTTGTGAACATATGTTACGAAACTCTCTAATTTCTAGATATTAAAGATGTCGTAAAAAAATATAAGTTTGTGCATATCTTCCAAACGGGGTGTCTAATCAATTTTCAAATTACTTCTTTAGTCTGCAACGTCGATAGTTCAGAGGTATCGACATATGTTTCTAGTCTACACAGCCGCAAAAAAAGCCACACATTTGTCCTTTATAATATTAATGCGTTTCTTGGTTGTATAGCTTTCTTAAATTTTGATCATTTTTAATTTATGTACTGTATATTGAAAAAGACAACAGCTTAAAAATTTTATTTGATACATAAAGAGAAATTTCGTCACTGTGAAATAGTAACTAAGAAATATATATTCATGAAATCATCCACTAAGATTTCAGTTCTTAGAATTATTATTAGGTACTATTTCAGAAAACGTTATTCTCTTTTAAAAAATTTCTATCTCTTATCTATCTTTCAAATAATAAGACTAAAATCTTATTCAATTCTTATTCTTAGTAAAAGTATTTAATCATCAATTAAAATTATCGAATTCACTTAAAGCAGATACTTAAAAATATGCCACAACACGACAATTTCTCATTATTCATTAATATGTCATATCTGACATAAATGACGTCAACATGAACTTAAAAATTGTTAATAACAATGCGTTATCAGTTAAAATAGCTTGCCACAGTGTAAATAAAATATCCATATACAGGATGGTCCAGGATTTAATCGGGAACTTTATAAATGATTTTAAGAAAATGGTTTCAATTGATCGCGGTGCATAAATCTCTTCCTTTCGCGATACAGTGTTAAAATTAAAACCAAATATATAGATCTTACATTTTTTTTAAATATATATGACGTAGACTCCTGATGCATAGGCCAATCACTTTTTTATTTAGAGATTATTATGGAAGAAAAATTTTGTGAGCGAAAATCAAACCATTTTGCTCAGAATATTTTTATTTTACAGTAAACTACCCATACAGTTGAACAAATTAATTCGAAAATTACTTGTAAAAACATTCTATAATATTTTATGTTAGAAATACGACTTTAAATATAACGCAATCAAAAAACTAAAATATTGAGGTCAATTTTTATTTTTTTTTTAGTAGGAATTCCCTTAGAAAATTTATACACTATTTTTTACTTTTACTATTACTTAATAATAATTAATATTGTGTTTCTAACAAAATAATTATACCTACAGTTTCGTTTTTTTTTTTTAATAAAATGGATAGTGGTAAGATCATTTGAAAATAAAAAAGTCAACTCCGAAATTACTCTTTCTTTAAATAAAATTGAACTGGCCTTTTTATGGAATTCGAATAACAGTTTGTGTGAATGAATGTAGCGTCCACAATTCCGAATATTTTTCGGCAGATTTGGAGATTTTTTTTTTTTTCTTTTTGATTATTCTATTCAATATGTATTTATATTGTTTTGGATAGCATTGTCAATTTTCGCTGCGAAATACATAGGGACTTAATTTCTAATATTAGATGTAACAATATATTTTTAATATTTGTAATTGGTCATATTTGTATTTTTTTAATTAAATTCCAAGCAACAAATCCTGTTTAGTGTAGAACTACTGAAGAAGAAAAAAAAATCTTGAAAGGTTGAGCAGAAATAAAGAGTATTCTTTTTTTCCAAGACTGTAGTATTATATTACAACTACTACTATACACGGTGGGCCATTTTAGTCGATCTACGCTAATATCTCCGACAGTTTAGGTTCTAGCAAAATATGATCTCTACAAAAGTTGTTGGGTTTGATGCGGGGAAATTGTTGCTGACCTTAAATTTAACCTTGAGGTCACCGATCAAGGTCGGTCAAGGTTAACTTCAAATTTTCAAATAGGAACCCCTAATTTTGACCCTGGAATTGAGAAAATGGAGTCTTTTGTAATGGATGAAAATAATATAGCTTTGGCCATGTACTGAAGTAATCCATCGCTACCAGGAGGTAACGTTTTGCAAATTATGTTTGGTGAAACGGTCCAGCGTCACCTACGGCAATTCTCTCGAAAAGAGCTCCAATGTTGTACTATTTCATCTAATCTCGGCATCTACTGGAGCACACGGGAGATATCAATCTTTTACATCTGCTCGACTTCCTAGTCATTTATCAGGTACTGCCCGTTTATCTTTGTTATCCCTTGTACATTCAAACGTTTTTTTTTTTGGATAAGTTCTGAATCACTCTGTATATACAGGGTGTCCGGTAAGTGTATGGCATACCCTCGGGAGTGTACAGGGGAGATCAAAATAACCCTAGTTTGTCATAAGAAAAAAATTCCTAAAGTGGAGATACAAAGGGGTATCTAGCGATTTACCTTTTCGGCTCTAACTTTTGAACCGACTTGTATAATTTAATGTAATTTTAATATTTTATGGAGGCCATAAAGGGAAGGCGCAGGAATGGGCTTGCAACCACACTCGTTGCGCCAAAATTTTGACAGGTGTTATTTTGTAGATCTGAAAACTGAATTTTTAAATACTTTGGTCATTACTCTTTAAAAAAGGTATTCTACATTATTGTTTCGATAAAATTAGCCGTTTTCGAAAAAAATGAGTTTTTGTCATTGAAATAATAAATCAGAATACTTCAAAGGATAAATAACACACCTTCCTATATTTAGATCAAATATAATACATACTTCCACTGATAATGAATTTTAAGGTACTTACATGCTATTTATACTAAACAACGTCCAATTCAAAGCACTTGTTTTAAGTTTGATCTGTAGGTACAAATTATTTTTTATGGGAAGCGTGACATGCTATATTGAGGAATTGAATTACAGCCATTGTGAAATCCTTTGTAATAACAATTGCATTATATCTATGTACCAATTACCCNGAGAAAATGGTGTTTTTTATCATGGATGAAAATATTATAGCTTTGGCCATTTACTGAAGATATCCATCGCTACCAGGAGGTAACGTTTTGCAAATTATGTTTGATGAAATGACACCTACGGTAATTCTCTCGAAGAGAGTTCCAATATTGTACTGTTTCATCTAATCTCGGCTTCTACTATCTTCTACACCTGCTCGGCTTCCTAGGCATTTATCAGGTACTACCCGTTTACCTTTGTTATCCCCTGTACATTAAAAAAAATTTTTTGGATAAGTTCTGAATCACTGTATATACAGGGTGTCCGGTAAGTATGTAGCATACCCTCGGGAATGTACAGGGGAGGTCAAAATAACCCTAGTTTGTCATAAGAAAAAAATCCTAGTGTCTTTAATGGAAGACACAGAGTCCCAAAGGGGTACCCAGCGATTTACCTTTTCGGCTCTAACTTTTGAACCGACTTGTATAATTTAATAAAATTTTAATATTTTATGGAGGCCATAAAGGGAAGTCAGGAACGGACTTGCAACAACTCTCGTTGGGCCAAAATTTTGACAGGTGTCATTGTATAGATCTGAAAAATCAATTTTTAAATACTTAGGTCATTCCTCTTAAAAAAAGTATTCTACATTTTTGTTTCGATAAAATTAGCCGTTTTCGAAAAAATGAGTTTTTGTATAACACGTCATTGAAATAATAAATCAAAAAATAAATAACACACCTTTCTATTTTAGAAAAATAATTATTTTATTATAATAAATACTTCCACTGATAATGAATTTTAAGGTACATGCTATTTATACTAAACAACGTCCAATTCAAAGCACTTGTTTTAAGTTGTATTTGTAGGTAAACATTATTTTTTATGGGAAGCGTGACATGCTATATTGAGGAATTGAATTACAGCCATTGTGAAATCCTTTGTAATAACAATTGCATTATATCTATCTACCAATTTCCCCCTCTTTCGTTATCACGCTAATAAGCGGAATATTTTGAAGGTCCATTCACAGGATAAATAAATAAATCTATTACCTATCTCATTTGCTTCTAAGTACCTATCACTACTGTGAACTGTGAACAACAAGGTAGGAAAATCCTATTTTTTCACTTGTTTTAAGTTATAACCTATTATAATACACATTTTGTTTTAATTTATACAAGGTGTTCCTAAATAAGTGTCGCAACGGAACACTGTTTATTCCTCTTGCAAAAAGAAACATTATTTTCCTCTTCCATTTTTCTCTCCGGGCTTTCGTTTTCGAGATACACGGTGTCAAAACTTTCATTTTTTTTTTAATTGTTTGCCAATATCTTAGAAACCGTTTGAACAACAGGACTGAGTTTTTGTATACGCATTACCACTATTATTAGCTACTTTTTTGCACCCTTCTTGAATTCATTGAACGTGCCAGTTGTGGAGATTTTAAGGTATCGTAAGTGTTCTTCCCCCCCCCTAACTTTTACGCCACTGGAAAAATTGACATTTGACAGCAAATTCTGAAGCGCCAATGAATTTTACACAAAAAGAGATCTGTTGGTTCATTGCTCTAAAGTCAACAAACATTTTGCTAACGTTTCGAAAATCTTTTGTAATTCACAAGATAGATAGTAATAATTAACAAGTTTAACGAAATTCAGCAACATTTGCAACAAGTAGCTATTAATAGTGGTAATGTGTGTACAAAAGCTCAGTCCTGTAGTTCAAACGGTTCCTAAGATATTGGCAAAAATCTGAAAAAAAGTTTTGACACCGTGTATCTCGAAAACGAAAGCCCGGAGAGAAAATGGAAGAGGAAAAGAATGTTTCTCTTTTCTAGAGAAATATACAGGTTTCCGTTGAGACACTTATTTAGGAACACCCTGTATGTTATACATAATAGTTTATTTATTTAATAGTATTTACGTGCAATTTTTCTACTAAAAGGGTACCTATATAGTGCAAACAACTTTCTGGTTAAATTATAGAAATCTACATTTTTTTCTCCACATGTAACTATTATCCCTTATTAAATTCGAAAGTTTTGACTACACCACTGAAATTTAATATCCAAAAAACTTAGAACAAGTTATGCAATACTGATATTTATGTAAATATTTCTTCAGTTTTTAATTTAGAGTTCGGGACAAGTCGGATGATCATAGCCGTCGCGTCGGCCTTTCGCTACAGCGTATCGTACGAAACTGGTAGTAACGGCAGTTATTCGCGTTTGCTTTGTGTATACGTGTTTTAATATTCTAATAATGTCGAACGCGAAAAAGGGGTAAAAAAGGACCTTTCGCTGATAAAGTACAAAAATTTATTTATTTTAATTTATACCTACCTGTTTCACTAACTAACCGAGGAAAACCCCGAACTCTAGTTATGATTATCCGACCAAGTCCCGAACTCTAATAATTAGTTTAGAATAAATTTTTTTAAAANTGAAAATTTATATATTTATCAAGCAGATGTCTTAATTTATTTTTTTACCATTTCTGCCTTACCTACGTAGTCTTTGGATGAAAAATTTTATATTTACTAACCAGATGCCTTTTTGGAAGTTTGGAACAAACTTTTCTTATTCTTTTCTCGAACGGGGCCTACTCTTTTTTGAAAAACATTCTCATCATACTTTTATATATAGGGTGTTTAAAAATTAAAGTACAGGGTGTTTATCTACTAACCAGCGAGGAAAGCACCGCGGAGCGGTGCTCGGGCCGCGCGCAGCGCGGCCCGAGGGCCGAAGACCCGAGAGAAAGGTCAAACTCCGCGCAAGCGGAGTTTGCCTGCCTTTCTAGTATTAATATTAATATCCTACTAGCATGTTATTTTATCATAATTATCCTATTTTGAAATGCGTTGAGTGTAAAATAAATTAATTCAATAATAGAAATTGCAAGTAACATTTATTAACGCTAATACAGATTAAATGTCAAACAACTAATATAACAAATTTTTCGTATTAAATAATAGACTACTGTTGTATGTTACTGTTGTACAGTAACATTGAATGCATCATTGGTGTCACAGAATAACAATGCCATCGGTAGATTACCAAGAGTATTCTCTTTAATGTGGCCATATCCCTAGCCGAGAAATAGTCAAATTTCTGGCGTTTTTAGGTACCGAGATCTTGAAAAATAAAACGTCCTTGATGTTCTGTTTATTCGTTGTTACTATTTAAATTTATTCAAATAAAATAATGACTTAAAAAAAGCGTTTGTAAAACATGCGTTTGTTGTTATCCTAATCCCACAGTTTAAGAATTATTTTCACATACTTATAAATAAAAGTAAACAATTTTACATGTAAGACTAAGCAAGTATGTATATGTTATAAGAATATTTACATGTGGAGTTATATATAAAAAAGTTAGTATTTTCGTAAATTTCAGTACCTAAAACCTTGATGGTTTGACCGTTTTTTTTATTTTATTCGTTCTACTGCGGTGTCTTTGAAAATACACAGATGTCATGACATAACATTCCCGTTATTTGATAAGCTTCAAATTATTCAGTTATTAAATTACTTAAATTATTTTTCTTTGTGGAAAACACTATTTCAAGAATATGGCGCCCTTAAAACTGTTTCCGGTTTCTTCCAGAGCTCAGATAATATCAACTATACACAAAGTGTTTTCAATAGACGTTGTACCAAATGATTTATACATTTCGAAATGATTTTTAATTATACAGGGTGTTAACAGAAGTTAACCCAGAAGGGTTGCCTAAATTCATTTTTTAAATTTCGCAGCATCCTCGAAAATATTAAATTTCTTTGAAAGTAAACAAGATACCAATATGCGTCTTCATTCATTTAATCATAAAAACACCCTTTATGCGTTTCTTTCTAACTAAATAGAAAAATAATAATTTCAACCAACATTTTTATAGTTTGGATAACGTCTTCTTATTCTGTTACTGTCTCGCTAAAAGTGCTATTTCTTGTCTGTAAAACGCTGGGATTAAGTAAAAGTTATATAAATATTAGAAAAATACTCACAATAATGTAATTAAGTTAAAAACTTTACCTATTATAATTCTCCACAAAAAATTGATTTTCTTAGATCGAGAGGTTCAATTGAAATATGTGAAAAAATTGTTTTAAAACATCCCTTTATCCATTTGTATTGGCAACATTAACGAACCGTATGAAAAATTTCGAATATCTTGCAAATTATAAGAAACAAACCCAAATATACTGAATAAAACAGAAAGAATATTAAATTTTACATTTGTTCGTGTAAAAGAAAAACAGTATATCGATGAATCATACCTGCGTGAAAATTACATTTTCTGGGAAGATGCCACAAACCCCATCTGTTTTTAAAATAACCGATAGTAGGTTTTCTATTCAATATATGTATATTTATCAAGACATGCCTTAAGTTCAACGAGGAAATGCTATAATTGATAAACTGACAGTTCCATTAGAAAATATAAAGTTAGGTACCTTTTTGAAGAGGTGGGACACCCTGTATAATCGAATGTTATTTTGGAATATGAAGAAATTGATTTAAGATGTCTTTTATTTGGGATACTGTTTTATATTATTGACAATCAGTTGATATGGCCCTTGGTTTTATAACCCTGTTCCGTTTATAATTTCAGAAATGGCACCTGCCTACAAAGTTACATATTTTGAACTCACGGGCCTTGGAGAACCTCTCAGATTTCTTTTAAGTTATGGAGGGTTTGAATTTGATGACATTCGAATACCAAAGGAAAAATGGCCTGCTGTTAAATCAAGTAAATGCTCAGTTAATTTTGCAAATGATGAAAATAAGAGTAAATACACTGTATAACACTACAATGTATCAAAAATTAAGGAACAGATTAAGGCTTAGCTAAAACAGTGGTGCAGATAGAAGATGTGCCATTTACCTAAATTTCCTTAAAAAGTTGTAGGACGACACCGGAAAAAATATTTTATTGTAATTTTTGAAGGATATATGTATAATAATGAACCCATGTGAGAGACATCGTCTTTACAACTTGTTCACTTGTATCAAACTGATTAAACTAAACTAAAAAAGGTTTCGTTTAAAATAAAACTTGCGTATGTTTTAGGAAAATACTTCTTATCTACGCCGTTGGATTGAGCTAAGGCTTAATTTTTTCACCATGAATGCTACTTGACTAGTGTATATTATCGACACAATTCATTCCAATATTTTCATTTATTGAACAGATTTTTAAATTTGGACATCGTTTTTGACCACCCATATACTCACATACGAGTATTATAATTATTTTATGATTAGAAACGTATAATAAAAAATGAAATTTTTTATATAAAGTTTGTTCTGCAAAACACGTCTGAACATATGACGACAAAACTTTTTTATCCCCGTACAATTGCTGTAACCTATAGAGAAAATATTATCTGTTTTTTCTCTCAAACGACATGTTATTGGAAAATAAAATGTTTGTTTTTTAGGTCTGCCATATGGACAACTGCCTATTCTGGAGTACAATGGCAAAATAGCTAATCAAAGTCTTGCCATTTGCAGATATTTGGCAAAACAAGTGAAACTAGTTGGAAAAGACGATTGGGAGGATTTGGAAATCGATGCAACTGTTGACACCATTAATGATTTGCGTTTGAGTAAGTTTCATATATAACTTATGTATACAATAAAATACAAGAAAAATATATAAGTAGGTTTATGTTAAAATACGTAAGTAAAAGGTATTTTCCGAGAAAGTGCACAAACTTTAAGAAAAAAAATTGAAGTATATAAACGCCAGGAAATGCACCGTTTCCTAGATTTTCACATTGTTAGAAAGCAATTAAATTTTACAACTATTTCACAATTGCGTAAGGCAAGTGAAATCTAGGGACTTAGCATTATTTTCATTCATATGAAGTCAAGCAACGCTGATCGTGGTTAGCGCTTGGATGACCAACCGGAGAAAGCTCGCGATGCTCGTCCTTCTAATGGCTTGTACGTCGGTGTATCCCCAGAAGCTATCAAATTTAGTCAAGGTTTGTATAGAAAGACATACCATCCCTCGGAAAGGATGTAAAACCGTTGGTCCCTTGTCTAAGCAAGTAAATGATGACAAAGTGGAGATTCGGCAAAGGTTGGGGTTTCTCGTCTCCGGATGTCGATGTTTAGCCATAGTGACTGAAACAGGTCGATGAAAAATAACCAAACAGGAAAAAAATGCGTAATTATAACTATCCAGAATTTAATATCTACATTTAGTATTTAAAAAATATGTTAGTAATGCTTCATATTCAGTTGATGATTTCTTGAATCTTATTGTTAGAGTAAATTGCATAAACATTTTCTTAAAATAATTCTTTACAATAAGTAATTCTACTACAATCATATAATACACATTTTTAAACAATTAAATAAAACAGTAAAGTAAATTGTAAACAATAGTTTAATATTGTTAGGTTCGAATATAACAAAACTATAAAAATTGGGTTGAATATGAAATTAGTAATAATAATTGTTGAATAAGAACAACTGAAGTTCTTTAAGAAGACATGTACTATGATAGTAAGCACTGCAAACAGTGGCGGCGCGTGAACATTGATTGAATGTGTTCTGCTTAGGGTTGTTACATTTGTTGAATTGAATTCCGGAATATTAAGTGCCTGGAGTCTTTAAATGGCGCCGCAGGCGAAAAATTTTAAAATTTTCAAGGTCACGCGTTTTCCTGGCACTTCTGAATTTCAAGGAACAATGAATTTATAAAAAAAATACAGATTTTCACAAGAATGATTTTTGAAATTGATACCTTTTTGAAATATCCATTTACGAATTACCTACTGATGGTATAATAATTTGGAATAAACTAAATATATTTTATTAAATTATTGAATATTGTTTATAAAAAAAAATCGTTTGTGAAATTTACCAACGATTCNGTAAGAGCAACGATCGTGGGTTTCTCTGCCATGCTCTTTCCCACAGGAGCTCTAGGTGAGCCTGGCACTCTCATTTTATGTTAAATGGTTGTTAATGTTTTTATTGTTCTTTCTATTTGTCACATGTTTAATTTGAAGACTGTTGTACGTAACTAATAAAGCTAGGTGTATTTACTCTGCTTTTGTTTTATAAAATTAAACCATACATCACCTCAAAAAAAGTTAGTAGCCAGCGCCTATCGGTCAAATATAAAAATAGATGTATACAACGTAGGTATTCCTTATGACGATCACATATTTTTGGCCACAACTACGTTTATTTTTTCGATCCAACCTGGGGTTGTTATACTACAAAGTAAATGATGACAAAGTAGATATTCGGCAAAGGTTGGTGTTTCTCGTCTCCGGTCGTCGATGTTTAGCCATAGTGACTGAAACAGGTCGACTAAAAATAACCAAACAGGAAAAAATGCGTAATTATAACTATGCATTTAATATCTACAATTGGTATTTAAAAAATATGTTAGTATATGTAGTTGATGCTGAAAGAGAAGAGAAAAGTACGCAAATTTCATAATTTCTTGAATCTTATTGTTAGAGTAAATTGCATAAACATTTTCTTAAAATAATTCTTTACAATAGGTAATTATACAACAATATAATACACATTTTTAAACATTTAAATAAAACAGTAAAGTAAAATGTAAACAATAATTTAATATTGTTAGGTTCGAATAATAACAAAACTATAAAGATTGGGTTGAATATCAAATTAGCAATAATAATTGTTGAATAAGAACAACTGAAGTTCTTTAAGAAGACATGTACTATGATGGTAAGCACTGCAAAGGTCTTTAAAGGTATCTTATTCTTTAAAAAATTTATTTGTGGTACAATATTGTTAAACTGTGTTTAGGTACATACTTTTCATATTTAAAGGTTATTACTTTTGTATATCAACCATGGTCAGATTTAGTGATTTGTTTGTAGTAGGTAACCTATTAATTGAAAATCTTTCGAAAAATTGTAGTTACTTTTGTGAGACAAAGATAAAGCGCAATTATATTATTATTACGTAGCTTATTTCAAAATTTAAGATTTTGCTACCTGGTATCTTTTTGGATGCCGTTTTAATAGAGTAAGTAAATAGATAGGACGTTACCCTTTTTAAAAAGGGCCTGGTTTTATAATGCTCGACACTGTAAAAAAATTTCACTCAAATTCGCTCAATGTAACTCAATGTCCACATCTGATTGAGTGAAATTTTCACTCTATTTGTATGAGTACAAACTAAACTTTTATGAGTGAAACTATTGCAACAAAAGTGAGTGAATTTTACTCAAATCCGAGTTTCTGCTAACTATCAAGTGAGTGACTTTTGACTTTATTCTGAGCATATAAAACTAATTACGAGTTGACTTTTCGTCTAACATGATTTAAATTTAATTATTATTATTAAATATCATAAACTACTAAGTGTCACAGTACACTGATTCTTTTTACAGTGTATGTAGATATTACTAATTGCTGTTGAAATTACAATTTTCTTATTTTTACCTGAAAAATCTTTCCTTGTGTACATTATTATGAGACCCTCAATAACGGACGCAAATTTTCTTATTCTAAGAGTACGTTGTTTTATTTCAGAAATCGCATTTTACTTTTTCGAGACAAATGAAAAAATTAAACTAGAGCTGGCAGGACCCTTATATAATGAAACTATTCCGTTTTATTTGGAAAAATTGGACGCTCAAGTCAAGAAGAATAACGGCTACTTTGTAAATGGTCGAGTAAGTAATTAATAATTGATGACTGGAGAAAAATACTAAAGCATAAATTTATGATTTAATGCTGCACTGCTAACATTTTTATAAATTTTAGTTAACTTGGGCTGATATCTTCTTTGTTGCCTTGGATGATTACATGAGCCTCCTGACGAAAAAAGATTTAACTGTCAATTATCCTAATTTGCAAATTGTCAAAGAACGGGTTTTGAAAGTGCCCAGAATCAAAGCTTGGGTGGATAAACGGCCAAGATCTAAATTTTTTGATTAAAATTATTAAGAAAAAAAAATTGAAAAACGTGCATAAATCGCAACTAGTTTTGTACTAAGTTGTTCAGATTTGCATATGAATAATAGACACTTTAGGCCAAATATTTTTTTCACGATTTAGAGCGACTTTGATACACTATGTTCTAGAAGAAGAGGGATACATGTGATCTAAGAAATCTAAGATAAAAAAAATTAAAACTCGAGGATAATATAGTTGGTATTTATGTAGTAGGTATAACTTTTCTTAAAATAAAATGCATTTTTTCTAAAAAACTTTTAATTCAATTTTTCATATGCGACCTATTATACAGGGTGATTCAGGTTTGGATAACTTCAGGAATCAATAGAACAGGTTAAAATAATGTTCATTCATGATATAAACTTATTCCCTAAATCGCACCGTTTCGGAGATAGAGGGTGTTAAAGTAGGAATTTTTTTAACCGTTTTTCCGTCATAACTTTTGAACCACTCATCCTATTGAAGTGAAATTCGGAACACAAACACTCCTTATGATCTTAGATAGGCTCCTTAAGTGAACCACCTACTCCTCTTAGAAGTGTATTTTGTGTGCTACCTCCCTCTTACATTTCAAAACTTTAAAAAAATTTATTAATTTCAATAAAACAGCTGCATACCACCTTTGCCTTGTTTCTTAGATATTCAATGAAATTCGTATAAAAGTTAAATCTTTCTTAAATAGATACAGGGTGTTAAACTTAAAAAAAATATATATTTAATTTTTTTAAATAATTTAAAAACNGTCGAGTAAGTAATTAATAATTGATAACTGGAGAAAAATACTAAAGCATAAATTTATGATTTAATGCTGCACTGCTAACATTTTTTAATTTTTAGTTAACTTGGACTGATATCTTCTTTGTTGCCTTGGATGATTACATGAGCCTCCTGACGAAAAAAGATTTAACTGTCAATTATCCTAATTTACAAATTGTCAAAGAACGTGTTTTGAAAGTGCCCAGAATCAAAGCTTGGGTGGATAAACGGCCAAGATCTAAATTTTTTGATTAAAATTATTAATAAAAAAAAATTGAAAAATTGAAGTTGTTCAGATTTGAATATGAATAATAGACATTTTAGGCCAAATATTTTTTCCACGATTTAGAGCGACTTTGATACACTATGTTCTAGAAGAAGAGGGATACGTGTGATCTAAGAATTCTAAGATAAAAAAAATTAAAACTCGAGGATAATGTAGTTGGTATTTATGTAGTAGGTATAACTTTTCTTAAAATAAAATTCATATTTTCTAAAAAACTTTTAATTCAATTTTTCATATGCGACTTATTATACAGGGTGATTCAGGTTTAATCTGGATAACTTCAGGAATCGATAGAACAGCAGGAATTTTTTTACCCGTTTTTCCGTCATAACTTTTGAACCACTCATCCGATTGAAGTGAAATTCGGAACACAAACACTCCTTATGATTTTAGATAGGCTCCTTAAGTGAACCACCTACTCCTCTTAGAAGTGTATTTTGTGTGCTACCCCCCTCTTACATTATTTCAAAACTTTAAAAAAAATTATTAATTTCAATAAAACAGCTGCATACCACCTTTGCCTTGTTTCTTAGATATTCAATGAAATTCGTATAAAAGTTAAATCTTCCTTAAATAGATACAGGGTGTTAAACTTAAAAAAAAAATATATTTAATCTTTTTTAATAACTTAAAAATTAGTAAGTGAAATAATTTGAAATTGGCCTTTTCCTAAAATTTAATGTTCCAGTGGTGGAGATACAGGGTACCGGTGACATATTTTTCTAAATAAAATATTACGCCACTGTTTTATGTTAACAATCGTGATTCGTCAATTTTCTACAAATTGCGCCGAGGTCTCTTACACCGAGGTCCGAGATGAAAGGCACGAAAAGCAATATGATACGATTTGTGATTAATACGATTCTGTGAACTGGTTCAGAAAGATGATCTACATTCAATGAATCGGATTATACAATCGAACCGTTTCGCCTACATCTGAAGAGGCTGAAAAATCCAGAATCCATATTAGCGACTTTTTTACAAAAAAATCTGCGTACCCCACTGGATTCGGCGTCCCCTGAAATGGATCTGTACCAAATTTCATGAAAAAATATTCAACATTAACGATTCTATGGCTAAATTGCTGTCAAATTGTTTATTATGCATTAAGAAGCTTTTTATCTAGTAACCCATGCGATAACAAATCAATCACAACAAATATTTAATAACACATTTAATAGACATCCTTATATCAAAATACAATGAAATAAACAGAAAAACAAATGAGACATTAACATAAAATTTACAAAAAACGCAGTAAAATAAAATTAAATTAACACACATGAATTAACTTAAAATTCTAGATTTTTCAACTAAATCTCCATTTAATTGAATGCATTTATTGTATCGTCTACTGGCGTTGTGGATAGGACAGCCATCTAATTGAAACAGTAGACCAGCCACTTCTGCAAGTGGAAGTTAATCAATAGCATCCGAGAATTCATTTTAAAAAAATGTAAAAAACTTTGGCTATTGCCTTCAGAAAAGAAGGGGCCAATTAATCTGGTATTTAAAATACCGCACCATACGTTTACCTTCTGTGAATACTGTCGCCTACAGTTTATTACCCATTCGGATTTTCTTGTGCCTGATGCCTCGTGTTATGTGAATTTACTGTCCTATTGGTTGTAAATGTTGCCTCGTCAGTAAATTAATTTTTTTTTAGAAAATTTCTGTAATTGGGGTATTCTCCTTGGCACTATAAGCAATATTTCATTCGTTCGTCTTCTAAGGTGTCGCATTAAAAGGCTTCATATTATTGTATTTTTTAAGTTTTTTCCTTATGGTTTCCCGTGGTAATTGTAGGTCCAAACTAGTAATTCTTAAACTTTTTTTCGGATTTTCGGTGAAATAATTTTGAATTTGTTCATTTCTTCTCCATGACTGTTGTACATTAATATTTTTTTAAATGTGCTTAGATACAGCTCCGTATTCATTAAAAATATTGCTCACTCGCCCAATGGTAGACTTGCTAATATTTTGAATTTCTGATGTCTATCACTAAAAATTAGAGGTACTTCCCTTTCGGATCTGTCTCTGTCATCACAAAGTTTTACTATTTCAATCTTATGTTGTAACGTTAAATTACAGAGTCATACTTTTTGACAGTGCACTTAAGGAACAATACGTAAATTTCACTATTGAGCTAATAAATTTGACATATTCGTCTTTTGTTCAGTCATCTGCGACTTAAGTAATTGCAAAGCCTGCTATTAAGAATATTGTTCATCACTATGGAGCTGTATTATTAAAGCATGTTTAAATAAAACAAAGATTGCCACTATTATGAATAACTGTGGGATCGACATTATTTATTTAATTTTTTTAGTGACGAGGCAACATTTACAAAAATATTCGTTCAATTAAATGGAGATTTAGTTGAAAAATCCAGAATTTAAAGTTAATTCATGTGTGTTAATTTTATTTTATTGTATTTTTTGTATATTTTATGTTAATTTCTCGTTTATTTATCTGTTTGTTTCATTATATTTTGATATAGGGATGTCTATTAAATGTTGTTATTAAATATTTGCTGTGATTGATTTGTTATCGCATGGATTACTAGATAAAACGCTTCTTAATGCATAATAAACAACTTGACAGCAATTTAGCCATAGAATCGTTATTCTTGAATATTTTTTCATAAAATTTGGTACAGATCCATTTCAGGGGACGCCGAATCCAGTGGCGTACGCAGATTTTTTCTAAAAAAATCGCTAATATGGATTCTGGATTTTTCAGCCTCTGAATATGATCTAGTAGGCCTTGGTTTAAAAAAAAATTGGACGCCGCTTGGCCTCAAAATACACCTTTTCTCCCTCCACATTTCAAAAAAAATTTCGTCAAAATCGCTCCATAAATAAAAATGTTATGAGGGTGGCCCGCTTTCAAATGGGTCACTCTGTATATATACTCACACACAATTATTTATGTTTGCTATTCTTTAAAAACTATCACGACAACATTAAGTATTAGAGAAAAATTCTAAGAAAAGCAATCAAAACCGTTTTATTAATTGTTGTTTCTATTACAAAATACCAAATTATGGAAATTCTAATTCTAGATGAATGTTCCATGTATAACATTTAAAATTCTTGATCCAGAGCTTATATCGGTGAAAACAAAATTTGACTTCTTACAATATGAAGCAAAAAAATACAGTATGTTTTCAAACTGTAACGCAAAAAATGGTCCACTTGGTAGAATTTCCTTCAGTTGATTTTGATAGTGGAAGGTAATGCATCTTATGTTCTTTATGTGTTTCGAAAAGCCAGTCAGAGCTTCCAGAGCGAAGAAAGATATAAGGAATTTACGAAACACTTGTAGGTATCTGTCAACATTTCTATAAAATGTCGATTATCCCGAAAACGGTTCTATTGTATAATCCATAAGGCAGCTTTAACATGTTTTACTTGTTTTTAATTTATCTTGTCGATAAGGACATAATAAATATGACGTTCCATTTAAAATAGGGAACTTCTCAAATGTAAAATTTATTGCAAACTTCTAGAACCCTAATTTACGTCACACAAAAGTGATTGTAGACTTAATAAAAAGTCTTGCGGGCTATCTGAGCATGTTGTCGAATCAGGACATCGCATGAATTATGACAATGTCACAGTTTTGGATAGTGAAGAAAATTTACTTAAAAGAACTTTTTTAGAAATGTTTCATATTAGCGCGGAAAAAAATAATTTAAACAAAAAATCAGACATCAATAATTTAAGCAAAATTCAAATTTGCCGCCAGTGTCAAGGTTGGCAATATAGTTGACAAAACCAAAATTCTCTATATGTTTTCTTTTTGGAATCTGTATTCAAACGTCAGTAACGGTTGAAATTGTTTTATATCTGTCCACATGCATTTTGATATTAATTGTTTTTGTTTTCAATCATCATTGATGTTTTATATGTTTTTATTGTGTGTAATGAAGCTTCTTTATAAACTAATCTCATGTTAGCAAGTATTTTAAACTAATCAATGTATTTTGTTTTGTTACATCATTTTATATTTTATTACAGATGTTTTGAAAAAAGAAATAAACATTTCCGAAAGCTAGACGACATAACGAAGAGTGTTTATTTTTGGCCATTTCAAATTATTCAGACTGCAACCCTAAAATACAAGGTGATAACGAAATAAGTATCTACTCAAAATTGGAGAGTATGTAAAACATGTCGAAGTATG